CCGGCCAGCCTCAGCCTCCGCGGCCTCGCACTTGCCACGGGCGGCCTCCAGCTCGGTGGCCGCCTCCCGCTCCCGCTGCCGGAGCGCCTCCTCCAAGCCGCGGATCCTGGTCTCCAGCTCAGTCTGTAGCTTCTCCGAGACCTCGGCAGCACCAGGGTGTAGGACGGGGCCAGCGGGGCCCCTCGGGATGGTGGCCTCCACCCCCGTGGTCTCCGTGCCCGCGAGTTCTCCCCACACAGCACCCACTCCGTTGGCCTTCATTTCTGCTTTCGTGTTGGTGGCCTCTGCGCCCGTGGCCTCCGTGGCCTCCGCTTCCGTGGCCTCTGCGCCCGTGGCCTCCATTTCCAGGTTCCCTCCTCCCAGAGCTGTTGTCTCGGTGGCCTCGGCCCCTCCCGCCTTTGTTCCCAGGGCTTCGGCGCCTTCGGGCGCTGGTTTGGCGGCCTCAGGTTTGGTTTCTGCGCCCTCAGCGCCCGTGGGTGCTGCTTCCGAGGCCACATCCCCCGCGGCCTCAGCAGCAGCATCCGCTCCGCTGACTCTGGTTTCCGCGGTGCCGTCGGGCTCCGCTCCCGTCAGCCTGTTGCTGCTGGTCACGGCTCCTGCGTCTTCACACTCCCCAGGGACGGCCTTCTCATCTCTGGGGGTCCCCGGTGCTTCCTGCTGTTCCAGCGCCCGCACGGCCTCGGCGTGCTGCCTGCGCAGCTGCTCTAGCTCAGCCCGGAGAGAGTCATAGAGGGCCAGAGGGATGAGCTCGGCCACACCATTCGCCTCCGCCTCATCCTTCTCAAAGGTCTCCAGGACCTGGGGGGTGGGGCGGGAAGGGGGCCACCTTGCCACCTTCCCTGCCCACGGACTCAGCCGTGTGCCCATCCTGACCCCCGGGTAGAACTCCCCTCGGCTCTGCACCCCCCAGCCCACTCTCTCAGGCCTCGGTTTCCCCACCTGGACCTTCTCCATCAGCTCCTGGTTCTGTCTGGTGAGGGCGGCCACTTGTTCCCGCAGTGAGGCCAAGAGGTCCTGGGCCGACGGGCTGAGCCGCTTGGACAGCAGCGCCTCGGCCCCTGGGAGGGATTCAGACCCTGGGGGCCCCGGGAAAGGAGGAAGAAATAACAAGCGAGGGCCGACCTTCCTCCCAGCTCCAAACGCTCTGTAGGCCTGTGGGCCAAGGCTCCGTCTCCCAGGACCCCAGGGGCCAGGCAGGCAGAGGTGCGTGGGGGGACAGGTGGCAGCTCACCTGGGAAGTCGGGCAGCTCACCCTCTTCGTCCTGAAGGGTGGCCACGTCATAGCTGGTGTTTTCCCGCTCGTTCTGGCGGGGGCGGGGGCAACGCCTGGGTTGGCATCCTGCCCCCCACTCCCACATCCCCCCAGAAATCTAGAGTGGCCAGAAGTGTTCACGGGTCTGTCCAACCCCCACAAGCACCGGACTGGCTGTGCTCGGCCTGCAGGTTCTGACCGAGTGCTACTAGGCAACTGAACCGTGCTGGTCTCCCGGGAAGGGCAGTGAGCAGCTCGGCCACTGCCCGAGGGGTGACCACTGCCCCAGAGGTGACCACTGCCCGAGGGGTGACCACTGCCCAGTGACCGGGCTGCGTGCGCAGCCTGGACGCACGGGCTGGGGGGCGTCTGCATGGCCCAGGGTCTGTGGTGAGCACGTGTGTGCCCAGAGCGTGTCCCTTGCACACAGTGGCCCTGGCCTCTCAGGGGTCAGTTCCCGTGACAGTGATTCTGCATGTGACTGCTGTGTGTGCGTGTTGTTTTGAGTGTATGTGTATGTTTGTGTAATTATATATTTTGAGAAAGAAATTTGTGGGTATGTCGTCTCTGCGTGTGATGGAATGAGGTGACTGTCGTGTACATGTAAATATTTGTGATGTTTCTGTGTGTGTGATTGTGCTTTCACGGATGTTTGTGGTGTGTGTGCCTGTTTCATGTTTATTTATTTTATTTATTTTTTTTTAACACCTACAGCACCTGATCTTCCTAGGCGGCCTCCCATCCAAGTTCTAACCAGGCCCGACCCAGCTTAGCTTCCGAGATCAGACAGGATCGGGCTTGTTCAGGGTGGCATGGCCGTAGGCTGATGTATGTTTATTTCTATACGTATATGACTGTGGTTATCTATCTCTGTGTACGTGTGTGTGACTGCGTATTTTGACAAGCGTCCATTACGTGCATGTGTGTTATCTGTGATCGTGTTTGTGGTGCACGTGTTTGCATGCGTGAGACTGTATCTGCGTGGTTGCCATGCAACTGCTTCAAGGCCCCGCCCCCGCTCTCCACCCAGCCCACCTCCAGCAGGGACAGCCGGCTCTGCAAACTTTCCACCTCCCGTCCCAGACTCTCCTTCTCCTCCTGCTTCTCTGCCAGCAGCTGCTGCAGCTCTTGCACCTGGAGGAGGGCGGTGGCTCAGCCGGTCTCCAGGAAGAAACACTGGGCGGCTGAGGGGCGGGCTCTCCCCCGACCTTCCACCTACCTGTCTCTCCAGGCTGTGAAGGGAGCTGGCCTCCACCTCTGGCAGCTGAAGAGAGAAGGGTGGGCACGACTTGGATCTGGGGTGGGGGCCTCCCTGGCCCACCTCCAGCTAAGTGGCCCAACATCCCCAGATGACCGGCTCTGCCGCTCACCCGTTACTAAGTATTTATTGGGAGCCTACTTTGTGCCAGACCCCACGATTGGCCACTAATTCATTCATTCACTCACTCACTCAGACATGTGTTCATCCTATAGATACTTGTCAAGCATCTACTGTGAGCCAGGCACCATCCACTGTGCCCGCCGCTGTGGGCTCACAGTCGACTGGGTGGACGTGAATATGTGGCAGGTCTGAAAGCCGTAAGCGCTTTGCATACGACTGAGGGGAACTGGGCGGTGAGTGGAGGAGTGTTACGAGTTTAAATAAGGTGGGCGGGGAATGTATCTTCGACAAGTGGTCTTTGAGCAAAGACCAGGAAGAGGTGAGGGAGGGAGCTGTAGGGACATCTGGAGACTCGCCCAGGCAGAGGGCACAGCCCGTGCCAAGGCCCTGGGGCAGGACCGGCCGGGTGTGCTGGAGGAACAGTGAGGCCCAGGCGGCTGGAGCAGGCTGAGGGGGAGGAGAGGAGGGCGGGGAGATAGGCGTGCTCCCCCAGAGCTGCACCCCGCCCCGGCCCGTGCCCCCGCTGCCCCTCACCTCCTGCTTCCTCCGCTCCTGGTGCTGCTCCAGGCCCCGGATCTTCTGGAGCAGGCGGCCCCTCTCCTGCCGCAGCCGCACAATCTCCTCGTAGGCATCGCGATCGTCCTGCTCCCCCGACCCCAGCACCCCCCACTTCACATGAGGCTCGAGGGCTGTCCTGTCCCATACGGGAGCCAGAGCTCCCCCCGCCCCGTTCCTGCCCCTGGTGGCCCCCATCCTCCCCAGGGCATCTTACCGACACAGGGACGCTGGCGGGGGGCTGAGGCGCCCTCCGCTTCTTGGGAGCCCCCTGCTTTTCGTGGCTGGACAAGGAGTTCTGGTGGGAGGCAGTGAGGTGGCACATGTGGGACGTGCCAGCCTCCCACCCAAACCAACCCAGCCGCCAGCCCCAAGTCCGCCCTCACTTCCTGTGGAAAACCAAGCAAGTCCCTGCTTCTCTCGGTCCTCGCTTATCCTTGCACAAAAGGGGATGAGACGATGTCCCCGGAGAGGGCCAGGCCTTACGCCTTCTCTCTGCCCTCCTCCATGTCTTGGGACTTCCTCAGCTAGACCAGATGGCCCATGAGTTCTCTCTTCCCGTGGAGCTGAGAAGCCACAGAGCTGGGAGAGGGAGAGGCCAGGCCCGTCTCCTTCCGTGGCTGCACCAGCAGCCCATCTCGGCCCCCCACCGTTCCACCCAGCCCTGTGCTTTGGCCCTGTCAGTGTTCTCGGCCAGGCAGGTGAGTTATGCTCCCTTTTGCTGTCACTTGGTGGCAGCATACTCTAAAGACAGCATTCCTCCCAATCAGGTCACAACCCTGGGGCAGGAGTCAATCTCTTCCTTCTGTCCCCACGGAGCTGGGGCGAGGGGAGGGGAGGGAGTGTGTGCGTGGGGGGACTCACTCGCTGCCTGGAGATGCATACCTGGGATGACGCCTCGCCTGAGTCATCCTCTAGGGGGAAGGGGAAGAAAGAAAAGCAGGGTCAGATGCTGTGTTTTAGGGACTCTATTACAGGGGACTTAGAGGGAGGAGATTCCTGATTCCTGAATCAGAGCTTTTAAGGTAACAATCAACCACTTTGGCAGAATGCTGATAGGAGGGGCCTTAAAACTCACAAGAGAGAACATTGGCATCTCCAGGATGAGGCAAGTGAGATGTCAATTTTTAAGAAAGGCAGAGATCCAAGAATAAGGATGACCTGAGCCGAGTGGACCCCTAGACTATTCTAAAAGCCCTGGGGATCCTGGAAACTGTCCTGAGTAGAATAGGGAAACCACGAAACCTCCTAAAATGTAGTGAAAAGGGAAGAAACAGGTATGCGAGAAAGGGGTAACAAGGAGATGGAGGAAGGTGCCTGAAACTGCTTAGAAACAGGGCTTGCGTACCGCTGGGTGGCGAGGGGCGCTGGGCCGCCTCCTGCAGGAGGTGCAGGATGAGCTTGTCCCCTGCCAGGGCGCCGTAGTGGGCAGCATCCTGGCCCAGCGCATCGGTGATGCCCGGCCGGGCCCCGGCCTGCAGCAGCACCTCCACTGTTTCAGGGCTGGCCCCCTCACAGGCCAACATCAGGGCGGTCCTGCAGGAGAGGGTGCTCCTGAGGGGGCGAGGACATCCTCAGAGCCCCAAGCCCTCCTCAGCACTCAGCCTGGGTGGGCAGAGGCGGCCAACTAGATCCCCCCAACCAGAGAGGTTAAGAGGCTTGCTCGAGGTCACACGGTGCACAATTGCCTGGCTGGGAGGACAGATGCTCACCTGCCCTGCAGGTCCTGCTCATCCACGGCAGCCCCCTGCTGCAAGAGGAGGCGGCACAGATCTGTGTGACACATCTGAGCCGCTATGATGAGGGGCGTTGTACCCAGCTGGCGGGGGTTGGGGGAGGGATAAGACAAGACATGAGAGGCGGACCCTGAGGGAGGTGGGGAAGCCTACCATGATCGACCCTGAGCTTCGCCTCAAACTTGTCCACATTTTTCAAAGGGTCGCCTGGGATGTCGCCACTTGGTGGCAGCATACGCCGAGTACAGCACTTTTCCCCAAAAGACCCCAGAGGCTCACCCGATCTTGGGGGTTCAGGTGTGCCTTGAAGGCGCAGAGAATTTCTGAGCAGGAGATGCAGCCACCAGCCGCTGGACAAAGAGAAAAGGAGAGGGGGCGTAGGGCGGAGCTTAGACATTTTCTGGGGATGATTCTTACCTTTTATTTCATGAGAAATTTCCACCTACCCTGGAAGATAAATAATAAAGGTGTGGATCCTATTTTACAGATGAGGAAACCGAGGCCCCACCAGGTCCAAGATCAGCCGGTGGGGCTGGAGGCGGAGCCACGTAGGACCCAGGCCGGCAGTCCCACATTCCACTTGGTTCCCTCTAAGGTGGCACTGCATTTCCCCACTCGGCACTCACTGTGTACCTACTATGTACCAAACCCTCGTACGGATCATTCATGTTTACCAGAGGCTTTGGAGCTCAGCAGAGGTTGGGCAGGCTTCCCAGGGTTTGGTCTGAGATCTGAGTTTTGAAGGTGCAAGACGGAAGGCAGAGGTCACTGCATGGGCAGGGGCCCAGAAGTGGGCAAGAGCTTGGTAAGGTCACGGGTGTGGGAGACAGTGCGGCTGTCCTGAGCCTCAGAGCCAGAAGGGCGGGCTTCGCGCTGGGGGTCTTGCTGACACCCACTGTGTGCCCGAGCGGGTACAGGATTTTGTCTGCTGCTATAATCCCAACCCTTAAAACAGAACCCAGTGCGTAGCAGGTACTTAAATATTTTCCCAATGGAAAAACCACTAAGCTTCCACAGCGTGACCAAAGGCACCGCCGCCACTAGGTGGCAGCATACTCCAACAGTGGGGGATTTGGAAACAAGTGAAGCGCATCTTAAAACAGACCCAAATTTATTGTGTTCCCAAGAGGGCAGCCGCTTCTGGAGTCAACAGCGAAAGCCACTCCAGAATCTCACAGGCACGTGGTGGACAGAGTCGGGCTGGGTTCTGGCTCGAGTAGGTGGGTCTCCTCCCTTCCCTTCCCTCCAGGAAGGAGTTTGGGTTTGATGAAGATAAAGACCTCCGGCCCTTTGGCCTTCCTGAGCTTCCCTAGTTCCTCCAAGGGAATCGCAGTGTGCTCATCCCTGCATCACCCTCCCTCAGGCCTGGCACAAGGAGGAAGAAGAGGGAAGGTGGAAGGTTCCAGAGGGTCCCGGGGGGAGAAACCCCATGCCCAGCACCCTCTGGGCCATGGTGGGCAGGGTAAGGCTGGGCAGCACCCACCTGCATGATGCAGGGCGGTCCAGCCACTGCTGTCCACAGTATCCACCACGCAGGACGCCTGGGGAGGGGCGGCAGGTCACGTGAGGCGGAGCACCCCTCTCGTTGCTGGTGTCTGCAGGACAGGCACCAGCCTTTCCGCCCCCCCGCCGCT